AGCGCCGGCCGCGGGCTGCGGGAGGCACACGGGCTCCGCTCGGGCCGGGCCCGGGGCCGCAGCGGCCTCGCAGGTGCCTGTGCCCGAGTCCGGGGCGCGCCCGTCGCTCGGGGCGGGCAGCGGCGTGGAGGTGACGGGCCCGGCGGGCTCGGCCCACGACTCGTCGGCCTCCCACGGGTCCCGCGGGGGCGCGGCGGCCTCGGCGAGGCGCAGGCGGTCGGCGATGAGGCGGCACTCATCCTCGAAGAAGCTGAGGTAGAGGGGGGAGCCCTGCGAGTGCAGCGCCTGGGCGTGTTGCAGCAGGTCCGGGCAGCCCGGCAAGCCGGGGCTGGCCCCCGAGCCTGCCCACGGGTCCGGCCGCCACATCGCGCTCGGGCACCGCCGCCCGCCCCCGCCCTGCGCCCGCCCCATCCCACCCCGCCGGTTCCCCCGCCCCGCCAGCCCCCGGGACCACGCAGAGGCTCGGCTTCACGGTCCTTCTGTTTACTCATGAGAAATCTAGCAGGGCACCTTATCTAGTCAACGCCCGTACTATCCGCACCAAGAAGTTATGTGCACCGTGCACGGACACCGTGGCAGAGCGCTCTGCTGCGGATCGTGCTGGCACTGGAGCTGCCCCAACGACCCAGTGCCCAGGAGGGGTGGGACACAGCTGACAGAGCTTCCCTGGGCAGCCACCCCTGCGCACACCCCAGGGCAGCTGCCCTGGGAAGTGGTGGGGGGCTGCCTGTGCCACTTCGGGGCAGCCAGGAACACCAGCCAGAGGTAACAAGGGAGCAGGAGCAGGCCAGCCTTCCCAGCCCAACCTCGGGGCACTGCCAGCTCCAGACAACGGGACTCTCCAGGCCTCCACCCAGACACACGAAGCAGTGCAACAAGGTGCCTGCATCAGCCTACCACACAGAGAAGGCAGCAGGGCAGGGCTTCCAGTGCAGGGAGTCCCAAGCGCTGCTTCCCCAACACCTGCCCCCAGTCACTGATAATAAAACAGCCCCCAGGACCAGGCAGAGACTTGGCTTCACAGTGGTTTAATGCGAACGGCACCGGGACGTTACACTGGACAGGGTGCAGACAGCTGGGTGGATGGCAGCCCCACGCAGGGCAGGGGAAGGGGCCGCCCCGAGCACGACCGGCGGCATCGGGAAGGCGGGAATCGAGCCCCTCTGTGGGCACGGCCGCCTCCACGCACCGGGCTCCAGCTGCCCCATGGCCCTTTTGGTTTTGGGAGCGGCTCCCTCTCGCTTTCCGCGACTTCTTCCCGTGAGCCACCTCTTGATCAACAGTGCCAGTTCCTCACCAGGAAACGAAGGAGACATTGGGAAGGCCTCAGGGAACGTGCCTGGCAGGAAAGGGAGGGCAGCCACTGCAGGTCTGTGCTCCAAGAGAGGCTCAACTGTGTCACCACGAAGTGACCAAGCGCTTATAAACCAGCCAGCCCTGACATGAGGAGGCCCCAAGCTGAGGCTCAACCTCACTCATCACAGCTGTGGCAGCCGGGGGAGCCTCCAAAGGACAGTTCTGCTGCAGAAAGTCATAGCCTCGTGGTCCCCTCAAGCTCTGAATGCTTCCCTGATCAGTCGTGTGTTCTTGCTTCCACACAAGTGACTGCCTAGCTCACTGCAGAACAGGAGAGAACACACCAAGAGCCACTGTCACTTCTGCTTTGTAAGCAAATGTCTAAGCTGGGACTGGCTGACCAGTTTTCTACCATCCTTTTCTGGAGAGGTGGCCTCACCCCAGGCCCCACTGCTGAGCTCTTCCTGTGGCAGCCATTCATGGATGCACCCTATAACTGCTTCCACCAGCCTTCTCTTGCTCCTCCTCAGCCAGACCCGCCTGCTTCTCCCTGCAGCTGGGGTGCAGGATAAGGGCACCAGGTTCAGCCCAGCAGGGTGCTGCAGGGAACACCAGCACAGCAGCCCATGGCACTGCAGACTGTGGCATTTCTGAAACCCTGGGCCAAGGCATCACAGCACACATGGCTACAGCCCAGACTATCCCATCTTCCACGTGCCAAACGGCCCACACAGAGCATCATGAGAGCACACGGCATGGAAACCCCTCAAGCTGCCAGCAGCACGTTAGAAAGGAGAGGGGCACGAACACACCAAACAGGTCTGTAATGCAGGAGGCTGAGTGCGGGGTTCGAGTAGGTGTTGGGTCTCAGCACTTCCAGACAGTGAAGAATGGGGGTTTCATGCAGGGTGAAAGGGGTTGGATGAGAGACCGACACACCCAGGCACCTACTCACTGGTTTGGATAAACCTTACTAAAACGCTAATACCTGATGCGATCACTGACCAACATGACAACTGCTATTCTTCAAAGTCTCCTGCAGAGATGCTTGGGGCTGCACAGACAAGGGAGCGAAGGTCATCTCATACCTTCCTGTATAGGGAAAGAGGCAGCTCCTACACCAGAACGCCATAAGCAAGTTCCTGATCCACACCTATCCACATCTGCCCCTAGACACGGGACAACACGCTCACTTGCATAAATCTTCACACCTTTAGGCCAAGACCACAGCCCAGTAGAACAAACTGCTGCCAGTTACAAAAGAGGAAAATACTGAACAAACTGGGAGGTTCAAGAGAGGAAAAGCTGGTTCAGAGAAGACAGATTTAGTGTAAAAATAAATGTCATTTTTGCAGGAGGGAGGGTGGAATGGAGGAAGACAGTGCCAGGTGCTCCTACTGGCGCACTTTCCCTGGGACGTAATTCCTATCAATAGTCTCCTCTTGCAGGAACATATGTAAGCAGCGCTCATTCTGTGCCAGTGGGTGTCCAGCAATTCTGGAAGAAAATTAGATGTGGAGGTTAGCACAGCTGCCACCAAGACCCTGCACCTCTGTTCCCTACAGCAGGGAGTCAGGCAGCCGGCTCAGCACATCCACACCATGCTCAGCCCAAGGTCACTTGTTGGTACAACAGGACCAGTAAGAGATGCCTGAGCACAGGGTGTTCCCTCCCATGCTGTGCCCTGATCCAACACTACGGTGCTGGTGGGTCTCTGCAGCACATCTGTTCTGCTAATGCTCATTGCACTCCCAGGAGAGAGCGTGGGACACAACCCACACTCGAGGCAGGACTTGTTCCAGTACCACAGTTTCGTTACCCAGCTGCAGGCACCACCCTTCAGCATTGGCACCTGCCAGCAGCAGGTCAAGACTTCCTCATGGTCAACCCACAGCCCCCTTCCACCAGCAGCAGCCCGAGGCAGCACACAGCAAACCCAGGACGTCAAGCTTACTTGTTAATAAACTGTTCTAGTCCCTGTCTCCGCTCCTCGATGAAAGACTCCTCAAAGATGCCCTCATCTCCTCGGAAGGGGAGCTGTCGTTTCAAAGCTTTTCCAGGCAGTGGTGGCACTACAATCTAAAAGCACAGAACCACCCTGTCAGCAGAACAGCCACCTGCAATCAGATATCCTTTGCTGTTTGATGCTCATCTCCAGCCCCATTATGTGGACAGAGCCACGAAAAGCACCCACCACCACAGCCTCTCCTCTGGGCAGCTCAAGATTATGGCTGTAACTGTTCCCTCATGTCCCAGTTTCAGGAATAGGCAGGTCTGAGCCAGGCCTCACCTTACTGTCTCGTTCCAGCTCATTCTTCAGCCATTCAAAGTCGCTGTATCGTCTCCTCACACACGACTCCTTCAATTTGAAGATTGGGAGGTTTGTCTGTAACGAAGCAAAGCAGTTAATTTGCAGGTCGCTCTGGAAGCCACAGAGCACTTCAACATGCAACTGTAACCTGAAGCTACAATGAGAAAACCAAGCCCCCTGAGAATAAGGCATCACAGGAACACTCAGCTTCCTTATTCAGGGCAGAGAACACCAAAACCCTTCAGATCCAAGCAAGCCAGGCTACTCAGTGCCAGCCATTCCCTCCCCCTCAAGTGACTATTTCAGGAACACCCCCCTTCCCAGGGGCACACACTGGAATCAGTGCTGACAATACAGAGAAGGCTGGTTTTTTTCCCTGAGTTCAGTCCATTTTGAAGTGATTTACAAGAGGGCTTCACAGCAGCAGAGCACAAGAACATCCAACCCGACACTGGCATCTCCACGGAAGAACTACAGGAGGAAATCTTTTCCCAGCAACTGTTCAAGGCCAGACCTCATGCAACAATCTTCTTCCAGAACAGACCACCTACCCTAACAGGCGTTTTCACATCCATCATGTGTCACTGCATAAATGCAAAGCAATACCCCAGCCTTCTCCCCCTGCCCACTGGAGCCCAGCAACTGACAGCTTCACCTTTAAACTTCAACCTTCAGCTTCACCTTTATCCCATCGACACAGCCTGAAACATTCCAGAAACTGAGGCAGCAAAACCTTCTGATGGGCAGCACTCGGATGAACACAGGTATTAGTGCAACATGATTAACTGTATTCTTAAGAAGGCAGCGAGGTAAACCCAGCTGCACCTCCGCTGGTTTCAGTGGACTAAGAGGTTCCCATTGCCACCTGCAGGCTGACGGGAGCCAAGCGCCGGAGCAGGAAAAAACCAAACACCAATTCTTCTTAAAGGCAGGGGAGGCTCAGCAGCTGAATAACGCCACGATCAGAAACCTAAGCCAGCACCACATCACACGCCAAAGGGAGCTTGTTCCAGGGGAAGCTCAGTGTTATTTTCTCCAGCTATCAGACGCAGAGCTGTGGAAGGGTCCCCAGTTCAGTGTGGTTAAGGCTCAGTGAAGGGAACACTGTGAGCGCTCAGCCCGCTACACACACTCCTGGGTCACAGGCCCTTGATAAAGCAGCCCAGAAGGGCACCCCGCCTGCAATGCCAGCAGCTCCCGAGACACTGCTACCCAGTTTTCCTCCCCTGCCTGAGATAACCAGCTCTGTACAGCCATGCCCTGCTCAGCAGCCACCCAGCGGGGCAGTAGCGAGAGGCCGGGCGCAGGACCCTGCTGAGGCAGCACCTCCCTGTCCCTGCGCGCACCAGCCCCGCTGGACGCCGAGCGGCCCCGGCGAACCCCCCAGCGCTGACCTTGAGCCCCGGAGCGCCCCAGCCCGGCGCTGCCAAGCAGTGACACCACCCCGGGCCCCCCCAGCCCCGCGTCCCCGCGTCCCGAGCGCCGCCGCCCCTCCCCGGGCCGCACCCCCGCACGCCGGGGCGGCCCGGCCCCGCAGGCCCGGCGCGGGGGCCGCACCCGCATGCGGAGCTCGTAGCTGGTGTATCTGGCGCGGCCCATGCCCACGGTCTGCGGGTTGAAGATGTCGATCTCGAGGAAGTGGCTGGGCGGCCCGTACGCGTCCGTGAGGTCCTGCGGCTTCGCGT